AAGCTCAGGTTGTCCCACTGGGTGTGATGGCTCAGCCACCCAGGCCTTGCCTCAGGCTTGGGCAGTGAGAGACAGCAACCAGCAAGATCTGGGCCATTAGTGTACCCTACAAAGGCACAACTATTAACTGTCATACTCAAAATGAATCGCTCATTTTTTAAAAAAAGAAAAACACAACGGAGGAAGTTCAAGTTACGAATGTGTTCTCTTTCCACTATGGCTCCTGAGCCCAAGGATTCCCCAATGTTCAGCCATCACTTCCATAGATTCAGCCCTTACTTCTAAGCATACGACCCTCAAATTTCCGCAGTCCATTTACTTCTGGACTCAGGCTACTTAGATGCTTAAGTTTCTCCTTGCCTCTAATGATCAAAATCTAATTTTTCTTTCTCAAAAAATTCTTAAAATTCTATTTTGCATAGGGGTGTAATTCAAATTCCTTCTTCCAGTAAGAATATGACCCTGTCTCTTTACAAGATGACCTCTACTGACCTTTCAATTCATCTCTTCAAACAGTTTTCACTTTGCTTCGCCTCTCTTCCCTGGGTACAGCCTGGATATTAACCACCTAATGCCTTTGTTCAACTTATTCCTTCGAACGGGCCACGCTTGGCTTTCTGAAGTTTCATTTGTCCTTGCATGTCACTGTTCCTCCAAGAACTTATTCCAGATTTTTCCTACTTTAAAAAGTCTCTCTTTCATACTTTTCTAGAATGTTTTTGCAACTCTGCTATGGCACTCGCTCCAGCACTTTACAGGAAGTGCTAAACTCTTCTGTTTCTTGTGACTTCTTAGAAGCCATTTTGTTTGACCACCATCATTCCCTCAGAGAAGCCTGTAGCTAAGAAGAGTTCACGGAATAATTATGAGCCTCTGAATGAGGAAATAAATGAGCTATTCTGTTCATCTTGGTCCTATTTCTCTTTTCCTGTTCTAGGGAAGTATTTAATTATACTTAAGGTTGCAAAATTGTCAGACTTTGTTCTAGGTGAGTTAGTTCCCCATTTGGTAACCCAGGCAGACAGAGATCCTGGTCTGAAACCAACTTCTGCATCCAGGCAATTGTGACTCACCCTCAAGGCTCCTCCTTTCCTCTCTGGGGAAAGAAATGCTTCAATCTCAAGCAAAGCAAAAGTTGTCCAAGTTGGACTAATATTTGCTTTCTTGTGAGTGAGGGATACTTCAGAAACAGCTCCGTGTTCACAGCACTATGGCCAGCAGAGGAAGAAATGCACCAGCAACCAGTCTGATGGACAGACAAGACAACTGTGGCTTAGTCACCACCGGAGGGCTGACAGCTCACATGAGCGAGAAAGAAAGAACTAAAATACGAAAAAGGTGCATGTTGGAACCTAGTCTCGATCTTTTCTCTTAGTTCTCCTCAGTCAGTCTGAAGCAATCTCAAAGTCGGAATAATAAAAATTCTTTCATATTGCAGAGTACATTAATAAACAATGATCTTGTTTGATTTTCGCTAATTATCTTGCCAGGTAGGCATTATACCTGACATTTTAAAGATACTAAAATGGAGACTCAGATGTTATCTGCTCAAGAGCACAAGGTTCTGAAGTGATGCAATTCACATTCATAGTGATTACAAGCATCAATTTCATGCTTTAATACTAGGGCCAATTTAACCACTGACTAGGTGTATAACTTCGGGATGGTTACCTAGTTCTCAGAGCCTCTGCTCACCCGTAAGATGTCAATGATAGTAGCGCCTCCTTGCAAGGACATGTGGGTTACATGAGTTGTGGAGGTCTGCTGATTAGCATAGAGTTATTGCACCTGCATTACTGGCAAAGACAGCAGAATGCAGGCACGTAACCCTAAATAATAGAGTGTGCTCACTAGAGAAGGGTCCTGCTAGGTAAGCCTCCCCCAGGACAAGGGAGGAACTCGGGACACAGGAGCTGGGGTGTCTAGGAGGAGGCTGAATGGGGGGTGAGAGGCCAAAGGACTAAGCTCATGATGATGTTAGACACGAGGACACTCGAGAACTTCTGGTGACAAGCAGTTGTTTGTTTTCTCACCACCACATACAAGAGAGATTTACAGTTATGGAAGCTAACCCAGGAGAGGGACAGCACATCTGTGGAAACATCTTGATCTTCAAATGCTCTAGGGATTTGTTCAAATGTATAGCGGGTGCTCCTGGCCCAGAGGAAGGGGCTTCCGGGCCACCATCCCTCCCACTGCTCCCGGCCCAGAGGGAGGGGCTTCTGAGCCACCATCCCACTGCTCCTGGTCCAGAGGAAGGGGTTTCCCGGCCACCATCCCTCCGGCTGCACCCAGCCCACAGGAAAGGGCTTTTGGGTCACCATCCCTACCGCTGCTCCCGGCCCCTGTGCAGGCACTAACAGCCCCCCGCCCCAGTTGAAATGAGAAAACACATAAATAAGTCTCAAAACCAGACTTCCAGATCACCTACAGCAACCCCAAAGGGAAATGAGATGGAACCCTCTGATACTCAACCACCTGGACCCACTGAACTGGCAACAAAAGGGGATCTGGAAAAAATGAAATCAGAAATAATTTCTCAGATAACAGGAGAAATTGTGCCCTTAGTGCAAGACATGATTAAGAAATCTAGAGAGGAGCTCAGGAACATGATGGAATCCCAACATAAGAAACAAATGGAATCCATAAAACAGATGCAAATAGATTTCCAGGACATGAAAAACTCCACTGAAAGTCTACACAGCAGAATGAGCCAGTGTGAGGACAGAATTTCAGATATAGAAGATAAGATTGCAATTAGTAACCAGGAAAAGAAAAATTGCTTCAAAATTATAAGGGAACATGAGAAATCAATCCAGCAGCTGCTAGATGATGCAAAAAAGAATAACATAAGACTGATTGGGCTCAATGAAGAAACAGGAGAGAGTGGAGATGACATAAAAAATCTCTTCACAGAAATAATGGCAGAAAACTTCCCAAGCAGGGGAAAAGAGCTTGACATACAGATAAGTGAGGCATATAGGACTCCAAATAGCCTTGATCAAAAAAAATCTACACATAGGCATATAATTGTTAAGATTCCAGAAACACAACAGAAGAACAAAGTTCTCCAAGCAGTCAGAGAAAAGAAACAAATCACATACAAAGGAAAGCCCATCAGAATCACAGCAGACTTCTCAACACAAACCATCAAGGCAAGAAGAGCTTGGAGTGACATATTCCAAGCCCTAAAAGGAAACAGCCTCCAACCCAGATAGATGTACCCTGCAAAACTATCTTTCAAATGTATAGCGGGCACATTTATCATGGAAATATCTTTCCTTCTCACCTCAGAAGGACAACTGATGGGTTCAACAGGATATGCTCTTGGATGAATTTAAGAAGTCGGCACGTTCATGACCCAGTGTGCTTTCTTTTCCCAGCTTAAACCAAACAGATTACAATTTCAGTGAAGCTGATTATAAAAGATCTATGTTCAGCAAAGCTTCAGGACGCTTGTGAGGTAGAATTACAGTCTAATGTTTTCCTTTCTCAACCTACTCAGCTGTAGCTTCTTCTTATGGGATGTGCTGGTCAATAAAAAACACCTGGACACTTTTTAACTTCGCCTGATTCAAACAAAGTTTAGGAAGTCACATGTTTTGGACCTCGCATCTTAGTTATTTTAAAATTAATGACTTAAGGCAATGAAGACTTTGATATCATGAGGAAAATGTCCATCTTTCCAAGAAATCTGCCTAGTACCAGTCCACTATCAGGAATGTCCACTACCCACCTGTCCACTGTCAGGAATGACATCAAAATATTTGAAAAGTTTGAAATCAGACCATCCCTCCTACAGCTACCTGAGCTGCTCTGAGCTAAGGACTTCTGTCTCTAGTGCTATCTTGCAAACAAACTTCACTATTGAGAGATAAAAGCTACAAGTATTTTTATGTATACAGTATCAGCCATGTTAACTTTTTTTTTTTTTTGGTACAGGGAATCAAACTCAGGACCTTGCACTTGGAAGGCAGGTGGCGGCACCACTGAGCTAAATCCCAGACCAGCCATCCTAATTTAAAAAATTGCATTAAATCACACATCTGAGGAAAATTCCACTTGTCATTAAACCCAAACACAAGTTCAATATTGAGATTCAGTTCTAGAGTAGAACATTTCTTGGCCAACTTTTAACCTCAGGATACATTAAAGTATTTAAAATCTAGCAACTAGGGGCTTATATGATGAATCTTTCTGTGGAAGGTGGCCCATTAATTAAGTTAAATGCCTTAATTCCGGCCCCCCCCCCGCCACCATTAGTTTAAATGGACCATTTATCAGCTGCCAGACTTGTTAAGATGATTAAGAACTTAAATATAAAACAGAAGAAGGTTAATCCTTAATTCAGGGTATAACAAATTACCAAACACTGAGCTTAGAAACCTGGCATCATATTTACGTCTATTTTCCACATTCTCCACAAATGGCAAGTCCAGCGATAGTTGTCCATTTTACTGCAGTCATTTTAGTTGCAAATCAAACCTACTAAAGCCCTCCTTTCCCCCTCTATTTTTCAAATCTCCTAGGCATACCTTGTCATAAGAATATATGCACATATCATTTACAATAATGGATGCTATATCTGGAATATTAATTATCCAAAGCAAAGTTGAATGTCAGTACCAACCAAAATGTCCTTCTATTTGTTGCATTCCATTTGCAAGAGTGAGGAAAGAGCCCTGGTTGACAGAGTTAAGTTCATTGGTCAAAAAGAAGGTGTGTTTTGTTTTGTTTTAATTGATCATAATTAATCAAGTAACTAATATTAACTGCAAATTGGCTTTAATTTGTTCAATATGAAAAATTGAAGATCACAGACAGACCAAATTCATGTAATGTTTTCTTTAGTCATTAAAATTTTCTAAGTAGCCATAGCATTTTTGCTTCCAATGTAGAAAGTGAGATCAGAACTTTTGAAGAGAACTGGGATTTTGAAATGCCATCAGGGAAAGGACAGGGAGTATAAATTAGAATCTGGTATGCTATGCACTACTTACCTTCAAAAGTCAAATAAAACTTTCCTCTGTCAAACCAAACGAGGGAAGGCTGTTCATTCTCTGTATGGCCAGGAGTTGAAGCGGGATGGGAAGGTTAAGGAGGGAGAGAGAAGGACAAAACATGAGTTACAGAGCAGGTCATTAATCTCGCCACGGGGTAGGGCGGAGGCACTGCATGCCGTCAGCGTCAGCGTCAGCGTCAGCGTGCGGGGAAACAGGGAAGGCAGTGTCCTAGGCTTGTTTAGTTGAGGGAACAGAAAGCAAAAGCAAAGCGTGGGGGCCCAGAGGCATGGGTGGTGGTAGGGGGCTTGACACCGGGTGCCGTGTGCCTGCAGAGGAGACTTCCTGGCCATGCAGGGGCGCCAGCATCTTTTAACTGCACTAATTTGGGCAAACTGTCATTCAGCAACTGCTGTAACCATTTCATCTTCAGTGTCATCCCCTTCTAGGTTTCCAAAAAGATAAACTCAGAGTTATGGAGCGTCTGAATTATTAGCTTAGCTTTTCAATGACACCAGCATTGCATATCAGTTCCAAGTTCATGGAAGATCACGTAGGTCTTCCATGCTCTCCAGTGGAATCCGCTGAGGCGTCGGACACAGGCACCCTTTACCTCGGTACCAAAGACAGTGTGCTCTAGTGGTGCTCGGTCATGTTTTCCACTTAAAAAGCAGTCACCTGACATGTGATTCTGAGCAGTTCAATTATTTCTTCCTTTGGAAATTGACGAAGCAGTAGCATCTCACCTTTTCTGAACCTTTTCACTGAGAAACTGTCATGCAACCCGCTGCTTTTTAATATGTCCACTTAAAAATGTTTCAGGGGCATGAGTTCCACGATGGGTGACAAATGGACAGGATGCACCTGAGGGCACTGGACACTCATGAGGTGAAGAGTGTATCCATGATGTTTCCAGCATTCAGATGGATAATGGCTTGGATTTTTAAAATCTAAATATCTAGAGACCACTCGGCTAGAACCATACCTGCAGGCGTGTCACAGCGCCTTTCAAACGAGGGGAGTTTGTCATAAAAAACATCATCTTCTGACACTACGAACCAAAGAAACATAAACAAATGGAAAACGAAAACACAAATAACAAATCCCAAATGAAATCAAGCAGTGCACTTTACTGATAGGAACACAGGAATGACTTTCATGAGAAAAGGAAACAGGATACTGGAATTGTGATTAGAATATAGGAAGTGATGTGCTTCTCGGATGACCACTCTATGAGAAGGAACTAAACTCTTAAAAATGCCAAATTTTAGCATCTGCGAATTTGGTAGAAGTCAGGTCCAGGGGAAAAGCCCACCCGGCTCTGACACAGGCGCTACAGGCACTGTCCGTAATAACTGACCTGTGCAAGTGCGTCTCACTCCAGCACAGTCCCAAGAGGCCAGACGTGTGCCCTGCACAGGAGCCTCCGGATGGGGCCTTGACATCCCCACGCCTCGCCTCACCCAGCTCACAGGTTTTTACAGAAGCTGGCTCTCAACATGGCTGCGGCAGCAACGGTATAAATCTGAGTCCCTGCACGATCCATCCCACTCCAATCTCCTCAATATCCAGATTCAGTTTGCCCTGCACATGCCTTTGATTGTTACGGGCTGTTAATTTTGAACAGCATTATCATAGTTCCATCTTTGGCTGTGGTATCCACCTGCGTCTAAATGTCTCTGGGAATGGGTCACAGCGTCATGAATTGAGGCTCTGGTCCTCCATGGTGTCAGATCTTTACATGGTTTCTCTTCTCACCAACTATCAAATGCAGGTGTGATTGCGGTTTTTACTCTATGTGCTTAAAAAGATAATAATGCCACAAGTCTTAAAAGTATGATCACAACCCTAATAGAGCCTCGAAGAAAATCTGTACAAAGACCGATCTACACTGTAGAGCAGTTAAGAACATAAAAAGGGTAGGAAAGTATCTGATAAAGTTTTTGGGAAATATTTTATTTGCTTGTTGCCTGGGCTTTGGGAATAAGGCAGGGAAGCTACTTTTTGTCATGTCTTAAAGTTTTAGGGTATCGCCTGTCAATTGGCTTTTCTCATGCACTGAGCGTCTTCAGTAGCTAGAATGCAAGTGAATGCAAGCCCTAAAATATCTATGGGAAGGTCTATGAGACAGGCCCTTCCAACAAAATAGCATTTTGTGCAGAATAATTGACACTGATGTAGTTATTATTTTTTTAAAGAAAGCTTTAGAGTTGCTGTCCATCTTGGGGGACATATTTTATGTTTTGTTTTCTTATATGTTATCAGATTTCTACTCTATATTATAGCTTTTACTAAAAATTTTATGTCTACAGCCTTTCAGGGGCATTTTCTTTTCTTTTCTTTTTTTTTTTTTTGGTACCAGGGGTTGAACTTGGATCCTTGCGCTTGCGCAGCAGGCGGCAAAACCACTAAGCTAAATCCCTGGCCCCAATCAGGTGCATTTTCTTATATGTGTAGAGGCTTAGATTTGCTGTTAAAACTTTAGATCTCAAAAATCACTTTAAAGTTGGCTCTTTTATCTCCACATACTTGTCCCAAGTGTGGCTTGACTGCCATAGGAAATGTCAAAAAAAAGTCCTGTGGCCATGGGAGGGGAATGTTGGGACGTCAAATTCAGGAATTTGCTGTGGACATGGTTGGCCACCCTCAGGGCTCTGACTGCATTGAGCAGACCTTCCAAGTCCACCAGGATTAGGCCTCTTGGTGCTGAACAGCCAAGGCACATCCTCCCCAGGGACAGAGAAACAACACAGACACGAAGCTATTGCTTGGTTGGTCCCTCAGCAAAGGATTTACTTCGGAGAGAAGGGGCTACCAGGGGACACACAGTAGGAGGGAATGAAGAACAGGAGGGCAAAGGATTCAGGGGGCAGGCAGACAAAAGCAAATAAAAGCAACAGAAGCAAGCGGGTGGGGTCAGTGAAGTGATGTGACCATCCTCTTAGGTGGCTTTGTTAAACCCTGCTGTGGTTTGTCTTGAAAGAACACAATTCAGGTGTGTTGAGAATCAGAGTTGCTGGCTAGGAATTGCAACATCTGCAGCAGGGAGGACAGAAACACATGATCCAAAGCACGGGGCCAGTTCACACTCCCTGTGCGTGCAATTTTCTCTCGGAATAGTGGTGAGCTGAGAGGATCTGTTAGATGCTCCATCTGGGGTCACTGGAGTCTGCTCCCCATGACAGTTACTCTTGCTTTCCTCTGTGACCAAAAGACAGATCACAGGGGGTGTGAGTGCATGTGTGCATGTGCGCTGGACAAACCTCGTGAGAAAGCAAAACAGTGCGGTGGGGGTGTGTGTGTGTGGACGCAATGATCAAGGCAATTAAAGAGAGTTAAAAATAAAGTTGGGCTGTAACAAAAACACACAAAAAATCAGAAAGAAAAGAGCCGATGGGCTTTGAAAGCCCGGAAACCCCAATGTGCCACAGTTGATGAAGATAAGGAACAGACATGGTGGCCACACAGTGTAAACCATCTGACAATACTGCACAGAGTTGGATTCCTGGCTAGACTTTCAGGAAACGTAAAGGGCTCTTCTGGACGGTCTGACAGAGCACGCGATGGAGTCGAATTCTCTGAGGGGCCTCTGAGAGGCAGGCACACTTCTGCTCGTTTCTCTGCGGAAACAGGTGGTTCTCATCCAGAGAGGGCCTGGCTTGGATCAGGCTACATCCCAGGCAGGGTAGCAAGGCAGGAGGGGGAGATGCCTGGTGACCTGGAGGGACTGGGGAGGAGTCCCCACCACATGGGAAGATGACAGGGAAAGAATGGGAAAAGCCCTGATCCAGGACACCATGCAACAGCGGGGCCAGGACAGCAGGAGCGGAAGGGGGGTCAGGCAGGTCCTCCTGGGGGCCACCCAGCTGAGCGCACATTCCCGAGCCTTCACTTCCATCACAGCACAAAGAAAGAGGCTCAAAGACATTTTCTGCAGATGTCAGCAATGACTTATTATTATTTTTTTCTGGGAAAACTGACTACATATCACTGAGGAGCATTAGGAAAAAAAATGGCAAAAAATTCATGGATGTCTCACAATGCCAGTGTTTATACCATTTGTCAACTTCAGGACAACCCCCAAGTGATGGAGAAATGAAACCTTCCAAAAAATAAACCAATTTGATGTTTTCGGAGGTGGTGCACAGTTGGAATTTAAACATTTCCCTTCAAAGGAGGCTATGTGTATTGTAAGGAATAACTGAATTACAAGACCTTCCTTGATGCTTTTGCCTGTGCTTTTGTGAATAGCTCTGTAGGAAGCAGCATAAGAAAACATCTGCCAACCCAGGAGCTCGCGTTCTTGTTATTTGTGCATTTGGGAAGCGCTGGGCCCCCTTTGCTCAGAAGAGTCCGGTGGCAGGAGCAGAACATATAGCAGAACAATTTCAACCAGAAACACAGGCCTTGGCGGGTTCGGGGCGAAAGACAGCCGGTCAACACCACAAACAGACTTTGAAAAGAGAGAAGAGAGAGTTTACCGACGGTGGGAGTGGTGGCTGCGCTCAGGGAATTGGTGGATGAGATTGAAGAAGTGCTTTCTGCGCGGGCTAAGGGTGCTATCGGAGGAGGGCTGGAAGAGTGTACGGGAGGGCTAAAGGGCCTGGACTGCGGGGAGAAGAAAAGAGGTGAAAAGTTAGATACGCAGCTTGTAGCACTTTGCTCCCACCTTTTTAATGTCTCCCAGCCCTGGGTAGGACAACAGGGGCTCTTGGGGCCTACTGTTGACTTCCTGTGCACCCCAAGGCAGACTGTGTATCCGGGAGTGTGGGGCAGCGCCGGAGGAGCCCTAAACCACAGCCCGCTAAACTCGAGGCGTACATCAGGCTTCGAGAAGCTGGGGCCTGTGCTGCAGTCCCCAAACCTCCAGGGACTAGGAAAGCAGTGCTCACATCTGAAGATCTTCAACACAAAATCCTGGACTCTGCTAGCCCAGCCGCCACCCAAGTGTTATGGATGTGGCTGCTTGTGACCCTGTGCACAGGTGCCGATCGAATTTACCTCTGCCACAAGTCCCTTAACTGTTCTCACAGAATGTGTCCCACCCCTCCCTCGCCCTTAAGACAGCGCGAGGAGCTCCTGCTTCCCGCCCGCCCGTCCATCCGTCTGTCCACGGGGCCACCACCCTCCTCTTAACTCTCACCAGAGTGCCAGCCACTAGTATTTTGTCAGCATTGGTGTCAAAACCTGGGATGAACCTAGGGTTCAAAATCAACTCTGGCTCTTGCTTGGAGTTGGACAGAATCAGATAAATCTTGTGAAGGGAAATCTCTCTTTCTAAAGGGTTTCGCACTACTGATCATCACTCTCTTCCTCTGCAGAGCTGAGGGCCTACGGGTCCTATTCCTGCCTCCTCAGACCTTGGCTTCAGAGCTGCTGGAGACCCTTCCTGAGCCACCCCTGAGGTTATGGGCATGGGTGTCTGAGGCTCAGCCAGGAAGTGGAGCATGAAGTGGTAGGGTTGGGGTATCCTGTGCCAGGGTACTCTGAGGTCTTGTGCATCCGCACCATCTGTTTCTGATGGAGCGGGGGGCCGGGGGGCACGTACCACATCTCCGACTCCAGGCTTCCCTGGAGGCAGCTTTGGTCTTGATGGAGGGCGGGGAGGAGGGGGCGGTGGAGTGCTGCTGCCGCTGCAAGGGACCAAGGGAGTGGCTGGCCGAGCAGGCGATGACGCACCTGGAAGACAGGCTGGCATCAGAAGTGGCTGGAGCCCCGGGTGCAGCAAGCGCTGACATCACTGCACAATGCCAATCACGGACAATTTTATTTTTGTCAATTACCACACTAAAAACTGCAGCACACATGGTTTTTTCTTTTTTGTTTAATAAAGAAAAAAACTTACTCAGTTGAACTATGGTTGATGGCAGAAGCTGAAGCTCATTACCTTCTGTTGTCATGGGACACCCACTGAAAGGTAAATCCTTTGCTACTCTCTTTTTGTGACAGGGGATAAATTCTTATGACTCTTGGGTGGCTGGTAGGTGCTTTTCATTTTGATCATATACCCACCGAACTTAGGACAAAGTTTTTGATTTTTGTTTATATTCAGAATATATATGCCCAAGATGAAAATGGAAGAGAACTTGGAGAACTTGGATGAAGGCAGATGATTTATCCACGTAAGAGTTCTCTTTTTTAAAGATGGATCAGAGAATTATGCTTCTGACCATGTGTCAAAATACTAATGCTAACTTTATCAATGTAGCCGAATACTTGCTGTAAAAACAAAAAAGGAGAAATGATAAGAAAGTGAATTAGCTTTTGGTTGAGTACTTTGTGATTTAAATCTTCATTATAGGAACACACCAAATGTGGAGGATTTACTTTGGGAAGGCGGAGCTTGGGTACATGTTCATGCAGAGTTTACCCGTGGTGATTTTCATGGGGAATTTCGGAAGAGCCTCTCGGATTTACTTTTCTGGCCGCCCATGACAAGCACATGAACACAGATGTCACACAGAGGCTGGCATGCACACCATCAGCAGACCAGCGGGGTCTCTGCTCGTGGGGTCCCTGTCTTCCGTCATGTGTCTGAGATGCGTGGGAGGCCACTCGGCCGCGACCTTAGGGGGTCACATCGATATTCAAGCAGTTGCTGTTCAGAGGTTTCCTCATGTTGGTTAGAAACACAGGTTTCCAACTGTCCCAAGAAAACCCTAAGAAATCCTACCTCGGGGAAATATCCCCTCCCCTCTCCCAGGTCTCCTCAAACCTCAGCCTCCCTTACAGCCACAGCAGGAAACCGACTTCTCCAGAGTCCTACTCCAGCATCTCAGACTCAAAAGTTTTGCATTTTCAAAGAAGCTTGAAGTTAAGTAGTCAAACCCACTATCTCAGAATCTGCCTCATCTTTGGAGTCCCCGGGGAGCGGGACCCTTGCTTCTCTTTTTAACCATGTGAAATCTCGAGTGCGTTTCTCTGTATTGCTGTGCTGATTGAAATCCCACTGGTATAAAATCTACTCGAGATTACTGTGTCCTCCTCTACCCTCCCGCCTCCACCTGATTCAGCACCTACTGCATTCTCTCTTTACTGTGCTTTTTCTTCTATGGGGCCAGGATCTATGCTAGGTCAATGTGACAAGCTTTGGAGCAAGGTACTGCTACATCTCAAGGGAAACAGAAGCTCAGGGATTCTAACTTGCCCAAGATCACAAAGCTCAAATGTTCTACTCAACTCCAGAGCTCTTAAACCTCGCGTGGCTTTAGACAGACAGCAGAGTTCCACTACATTTGGCATAAAGTCTCTTCTTATTTTGGCATACTGAGCCTGCTCACATCTCTTTCCATGTAAATGTACTTAGTCGGTGGCTAAAGTTCTCTTTAGAAAAATAGAACCAAAACTTAAAAAATGGGGAATGTTCTGCTAGGCTCCATTGGAAAGTTTTCTTTGGGGTATTATGTGGAGAGATTATTCAGAAGACAGAAGTGACAGTGTGGAAATGGGAAATTAACCTTTAAACCATGGTTTTTGGCTTAAACCAACCTTTTGGCTTGTCTTGAGCAATCGAGTCCTTAAAAATATTGCAAAAAATCACAGCATAATGTTAAGAGCTTAAAATCTTGTAGGGCAGCTCAGTTAGGAGCTATCCAGGGCCATAGGCCACAGGCTGGACACTCGTACTTCGAGCAGTGAGATCTGGATCAGAAGTCTCAGGGGGCTGTTTTTATTGATGGGGGCACATACTGCATTCAGCTTTTGGAAAACCATGCTGAGGCATGGCCCCGAATGTCTATGCATTAGACATTTCTCTTCCAAGAAATAGTCTTCTGAAGCAACCTCAGGAAAAATTCAGCTGCTCTGAGTTTCCCTTCATGCTGCAGAAGAGAAGTTTAAAACCCCCTTTCAGTAATGATGGTGGTTACTGGGGTCTGTCCTCAGGGCAGCGGGGAATCTGGGACAACCCTAGACGGAGTGTGCGGTGGGCTGTGTTCTGCCCTTGCCCACCTCTTGTCAGCTGAGGAATCTGCGTCTTCTGAGCCTCAGTTTCCTTGTTTTTTTTTTAATACAAGATATCATTCTATCTTATAAGGTAGCTGTGGCAGTTCAAATTGCAAATGCTTATGAAAGTATTTGCTAAAATATGAAAAGCCACCCAAACAGAAGGCAATAGATACTGATAATATAAAGATTATGACTTTTGATACAGATCCAACAACAAAAAAAGAGAAAATTGTTAATTGCAAAGTTAATTGCTTTCCTTTTCCTCTGTGGATGCTCCCAATTAACTCACTTTTTTCTTTACTGAATTGATGTAATAGATTTTTCTTTTTTTGTGAGGTTAGAAAGACACTACAGGAGTTAGAAGCCACAGGGCATTTTGACTAAAACCTGCTCTGCAGGACCTAGAGGCCCCGCAAAGAATCACCCCTGGAAAACGGCCTCACAAGCTTCTGTGAGCAGAACAGACCCAGTTTGATCCAGATAGACCCAGTCTGAAAAGGATAGGAAGGGTTAGGCCCACAAGGCTAAGTGTTATAAACAGCCGGGAATGAGAACCATCGTTTATCTTTTAAACCATAGGCCAGATGGTATGTTTTGCGATCTTCAGTTTACATTTGCTAGTTTGGGTATAGTTCATCAGTAAAAGATTAAGCAGCGAACCAACTGGGACTTTATTTATGAACTTCACAGGCCCAGTTCAATCTTCCAATTAGAAATAGAATCCTTTAGTGCCAGCAAAGTGCAGCTTTTTCCAGCTCAATTACTAAGAATCAACAGTCTTTACTGGTAACTTTAAAAAATATTTCCAAAAAGGTATGGAAAATAAACATTAAAAGGAAACTTTCAAAGATTCCAAAGAGAAAGCTAACACTGTTCTCTTCTTCATTAGACTGATGGTCAATTCAATGAAACAAACATCTCCCAGGGCTTTGTGGGAGGCGATGGAAGAAATGCTGATGACCCCCACTTTGTGGAGAGTATTGGGGTTCCCCTCTGGAGGGACTGGGAAGCCTGGGTAGAGAAGGAGTCCCCTAGAAAACAACATAGGGGCAACCCTCTCGGAGCATATCTGGCTTCTTCAGCTCTGCAATCTGGAGGCTTAACCTGTTACCATTCCAGGTCAGTGTGGAGACTCGCAGCCCAGAAAAGACCAGAAAGCAACAGACACTTGGAGGAGGCTGCTCCAGCCCTGCAGAAGAGAGACAGGGCCACAGAGAGGCACATTTAGGGCGCAGGGTTTGGGATCTTGTGGACAACATGGCACTGTACAGGTGGATGCGCGTGGGGGAACAGTTTGGGCCACTTTGTGACCAATCCTCACAAAGGCCCAGGCAGCACACCGATTAGGATCAGACAGACCCTGGGGCTGTGGCCGCAGCTGGAAACTGGGGCAGATTATTTGACAGCTTTGAGCCTCACTTTTTGCATTGGTGACATGGGGACCATGACAGAACCGACCACATGGGGCTGTAGGGAGGGTGAGACAGAAGCAGAAGCTCTCGGGTGGTGCCAGGGCCAAGAACTGGGGTTGTTCTTACTGGCGAAGTCAAGACCGGCAGACGCCCCGAGGTAGAGACCCTTGCTGATTTTGTGTAATGCAGTGTTGCCCAAACTTACTCAAGTGTTGAGTAGTTTTCCTTTTGGAGGGTTGTCTTTCAGAGCAAATGAAGAAAAAATAGCACCCCACCCCAAAGGGTCTGAACTGAACCCACATGTGCGGGAGGGAAGGCACCCGGGGCCTGGCCAGGGACTGGTGAGCAGTGTGAGTTGAATGATATGGAAAAGACGTACTGCAAAATTGCGATGTTTCGTTCGTATGCACAGGAAGTGTTCCAGGCCTTTCAGAATTAGAAAACACAAAATGCAGCTTCAAATAAGGAAAACAAAAAAATTAAGTTCCATGTAACAATTTCCATTAGAGTCCCTGAAGGTACATTTCTGGTAGATTTTCTCATCGCCACACTTAGAGTTGAGCGTGTAGCAGTTGATGGAGGTTAGAGGACAAGTTTGTCTTTGGGGGCAGCTTGATGGGGCTGGGGAAGCCACAGGTCAGCCCTTCCCTACCTGCCTCCCTTCCTCTCTTCTGCTATTCTCTAAAAATCTCCTAATTTTCCTTTTCAAACCTTGTATCTTTTTTTTCTAAAAAAAGAAGGGTTGGCATGGTTTTCTCCTTACTCATGGAAGAAAGAAAAGAAAACAAACAGGCTCACTGTCTCCCCGCATTCGCCCATAAACCCTAAGGCCCTTGCAGAATACCTGACATCTGACCTTACCCCACTCGCTGTGAAATCTGTCTTTGCAGAACACTCCTGAAGGTCAAGCAATGATATCACCGCGTTCTTTTAAGACATGGATGCCTCCTAACTGCGGGGTGGCAGGCACGGCCCGCCTGGGGCTGGGGGTGCAAGGCAGGACGCATCTGCAGACTTGGACCATGACTGCCCTGTGAGCACTGGATGGGCCAGGACATGCCAGGGGCCAAGGGACGCCAGACCAGGGAGGAATGGTAGGGGCCCTGAAGCTGATGCCAGGCGGGAGGAGGGTGTCGCTCACACTGCAACAGCCACGGCCATTCCCCGGCACACGAGCACACTCAACCCGCAAGACATACCGCTGGCGGTCCCGGTACCACTGCCCGAGCCAGGTCCAGGGGACGAGACCACAGTCCTGTAGGTGGGAGGTGGGGGGGTGGGCGGAGTTGCTCTCTGTCCCAACCCCCAGTCCTTCGCGGATGAGATTGTTTCTAAGTAATCATCCTTGATGAAGCTCTGCTCAGCCACTTTCTTCTGCACTTCTTCTAAATTGAGTGGAGATGGTACATGACGAGGACGACCAGCAGGCCCTGGGGGACCCGAGGGTCCCAGGGGGCCAGGAGAGCCTGGCGGTGGGGAGTCGGCTGGGTCGTCTGATGCCGCCCTTGGGGACGCCACCTTTTCCCTTGAAGCCAACTCTGGAGTAACGTGTTCCAGGAGCGTGTCAGAAAACTGCACCCACTTTTCTTCAGTGTTAACAGCAACGGACCTGGGGGACAGCACTGGGCCAAAAATGCTGTCCAAGTCATTGATGGACGGAAGTTTTTCAACTTTGGCCTCTGTGGCTGACTGGTCACTTCCTGTGGTTAAAGTAGTTGATTTTAAACCTTTAATTGACTTTGTTCATCTTATTTGTATGGGGGAACGGGAGAGCTGAGGCCAAGCTGGGTAAGTATATTTCCTTGGGAGGGGCCATGGTGGGCATAGTTCATGATGGAAAAATACTGGATTACAAGCTGAGGGTGAGGGTTGCCTGCTTCCATCATGCAAGCATCATGCTTTTATGCTATTATTCACTCTTTGGCAAAGTGACCGGTCCTGGCCATTTTTATCATCTTTTAAATGCTGAACATGATATTTCTGTCCAGGCTGCTCAGCCGTGGACAAAGGTGATCATCTTGAGGGGGTAGCTGTGGGTGTATGGAGAAGCACAGACTCCTCCCAACAGGGAGGGTGCGTCTGGGTGTCAGGCCTAGTGAGATCCACACACAAAATGTACAAACAACTGAGCACTGAAAATCACCCTCATGTTTCATAAAGATTGTCTACTCTGGAATGTTACATAGAAATTTTAGGAGAAATTAATGATACCTGTTAGTTAAAAAAAAACAACGGACATCACTTTTAGCTGTAGATCCTCTTAAATACATTGGAAAGACTTAAATATTAAGAGACCCTCATAAACATATTTACAAGCACACACATACACACCCCAGGTACACATGCACTGGGCTACTGAGAAGGCACCTGGTACTTATTACATGTACTTATTACCACTACATGTAAACCTGGTCGCTAGAGAAGAAAGTCACTGACACATCTGCATAATTTCTTTTCTCATCATGTCTAACCTGTTAACATCACAGGCATAACTGTGATACTATTTCTCTGGAGCCATGACACAGAAAAAGTTTTGTTTTAAACATTAATAGAAGCTATTCTTTATAATTTGTATCAATAATATAGGAAAAAACTTTAAAAACTACTACAGCTTGCAGGAAATATCTGATAACAATTGCAACTTGAGGAATTGTAATTATTTATTTTAACTAAGGCTATTCAAATTAGAAATTATTACTTAAATAACTGGAAGGCATTGCCTTTAAATAACTCTTGGACAGTAAGAACTGTCTTGATAGTTCCATATTTCTAGTCTGAAAAAAATTAACTTTCAAGGCTTCAAGGTTGCAGAGAAATGGGGTAGCATTTTGCATCACCCACCATATTTATAATTGTGTTGCTGGTAGGGTTATTTATAGCTAACATAATTTATGGGAACACAGAGGGCCCCGACGGCTTGGGCTTGCAAGCACCTTAGCTTATGAGACTCTGGATGATTCTCTGTCAGGACTGAGTCAATATAAATTTCCTAAATGACTGTGTCTACCTTTCTTTCTTTTTTTTTTCTTTTGGTACCAAGGATTGAACTTGGAACCTTGCGCTTGTGAGGCAGGCGGCGGAACCACTGAGCTAAATCCCCGGTCTACCTTTCTTTTTTTGTTGATAAATATCCTGTTCTGTACTTATCAAACTCATCAGACTGCGTAAATAGCAAAGGATGAAGCTGCAGTAGAATTCCAAAAGTGATAGCCGCATTCTAGGGTCCAGGAACGGAAATAGCCAATTACTACTTTTGCTCTGCTAGTGCAATGAGACTGGGCAGGTTATAAATTGTATGAATACACAGCACTGATTGTAAGAGATGGTAAAAATGTGCCCTGAAAGTCACGTGTCTAAAAGCTGTGCCAATTCCTTGCCGTTTCATAATCTCTACACATCTCTTCACTTCGAGGTGGTAAGTACGTGAATGGCTACTACTGGGGAAAAATCCCTACCAACAGCTTACTGCCTGCCCCGGGAACCTTGTGATGACTTTATAGACCTGACAGTTTCAGTTCTAACACAAATTTTATTGGTTCTTGGAAAAATACAAATTGTGCTTTGAGACTATTAATTTAAAAACCATTAAATACGATCCAAGAAAGTGAGTGGCCCATTAAGCAGTGACTTTTCATATTACCATTTTTTTGTTTTATTGTTACAAGTAAATGTGGGTCTTGTTTACAAAATTACACTGATGAAAATTAATTGAAGAGTTACTCTTCCCGCTTTTTGTGAAGCTGGCATGGTTTTAAAGTAAGGCTGCACAATGCACTGTATCGGAAGTGAAAGCAGATGCCATCATTGTACCACTGCAGTGCATGACAACTGCCAACCGCGCTGAGACCCAGGGCCACTGTTGTTTACCAGTCATCTGGGGACAGAAAAGACCGAAAGTTTACCTGGTCCAACTGTTAAGGGGGAGCCTGTCCGAGGTGGGGTGGCTGGGACATGTTTTGGAGGCAGTGGTGGAGGTGCTGTAAAGAGAAGGGAGTGTTAGTGACCGAGTTCTCCCTGACAGGGCTCCTCAGCGCGCTGTAGATAAGTGGGATAGTTTCTACTGTCACGCACATGGCTGACATTAGAGGTGGTTAGCCATTAATGGTCTACAGTTTCTCAAGTTCCAAGCCAAAAGATTGAAGCAGGACCCATTCAGATCCTTCCATAGTACTACAAGAGTTTGTCAAAAGAATGTTACATGACAACAGTAATATCAACATTTTATTCATTCAAATATTATTTGAAAACTTCATACCACAACTAAGTCTCATCTCCTGCACCAGTTGATAACAGTCTCCAGGAGTTATGACTGATAAGGAATATCATATTAACAGATAGCTAAAATCTAGGAGAATGGTAACAGGTTGGGTGGGGTCTCTGGGAGGTGTTTTTAACCCAGTGTTGATATTATTGCCTAGATTGAGCCTGGAAAGATTTCTTAAATTTTAGTATATTTTTGAAAGTCAGAAGGAAAATGACTTGAGTCAAAAAAGAATGACCAGATTCTCTTGGTAAAAATTGTAGCCAAACAGAATGTTGAGAAAGAAAAAGTATAGTATTATGACCCTTACCGAGGGATTTGCCCTTGTGAACTGGGCTCATCACTTTGTGGGTGAAGTTAGAAATTATTGTTTTTACGGCTACATTTTTTTTTCTTCTTCCTTTAAATGTATGTTTTCTTGTTATTGCCCATGTTTGGTAGATTCAAAGAATGAACCTGTTGATGGATATACAGGATTTTATCTACATGGATTTTATCTAGATGTGCCCACAAAGCCTCATGCACACATAGGTGGGGTTTTTTTGGAGGTGGCTGGATCTAGGGTTTGTGATACTGGGATTACAGGTGGGTGATAACTAAATGGATTTAGCCTAGTTCTGCGTGTGGATAATAGAAGCCCCACCCTGGTTGAGGGTGGCACCAACCAATAGGCTTATAGCCTGGATATAGGGAGAGAGGAAAGGCAGGCTTGCTCTTGCTGCTAGTTGCTTGCTGCTTCATGCCTGCTCTGCCATGGACTGTTTTGTCCTCTGCGATGCCTCTCTGCCATGCCGCCCTGCCTTGGAGCCAGCTGACTGTGGTCGGAAACCTTTACAAACTGTGAGCCAAAATAAATCTTTCCTCCTTTATCTTGTGCGTGTTGGGTATTTTGTCTCAGCAATGAGAAAAGTAACTAAGACATAGGCTGCTTCCAAGATTTAGCTATTATGAGTTGTGGTACTATAAACATGAGTATGCACGGATCACTGTAACACGACGTCTTTAACTCTTTTGGGAAGATATCTAGAAGGTGATTAGCTGGGTCAAATGGAGTTTCTAGTTTTAGATTTTTGAGGAATTGCCATACTGATTTTCATAGTGTTTTCACTAGTTTACATTCCTGCCAACACTGCAGAAGGCTTCTTTCTCCCCTGCAGCTTCCCAAGCATTTGTTATTGTTTCATTTCTTTATTATGGCCATTTTTCTGGTGTAAGATGGAATCTCAGTGTTGTTTTAATTGGCATTTCTATAATGGACAGAGATGTTGCACATTTCTTCATATATTTATTGGCTATTCTTCATATATTTATTGTACTTCTTCTGTGAAGTGTCTATTCATTTCACTTGCCTACTTTTTGATCCAATCTCCAGTGGGTATTTTAAGAAGCATTTCCCATATGCATCTTGCTATGGGCAGTCTACTGAAGGAGGATTCAATGGATCCACCACACTGGTGGCTTTGACCAAATGAGCAATCCATAATCTCCCTAGGTAAAGGGCTGTACCTTCAGACCTCCTTCTCCAGCCACCTGAGCAGGCTGGAATGAGCAGGTCCATATGCTCTACATAAATGATCCTCCTCTCCTGTCTCAGTTTCTCACTCCCATGCATCCAGTCTTGTCTCTCTTGCTCTCAATAGCTACTCTTTCCTTTCATCGTGTTCTCTTTGTCCTAAGCAGCCTCAGTTGCTCTGCAGGACTAGCAGAGGCTGTATCTTCCTTGTGCACCTTTATGTTGGGCAATAGTCCAGGGCTTGGACCATAACAGATTCTTTGACTCATTTCCTTCTCATTCTTACACAAACATCTGGGATGAAGGAATGAATGAAGGAAAGCAACAAATGAGCAATGGGATGACAGAAGAGTCATTGATTCAGGGCTCATCATTTTCATTCATTTTATTACTTTATTACTCTTACATAGTCTGTCATAGCCTCTTCAACTCTAAAACCTTGTTTGCATAACATTTCTTCTTAACATGGTATGGCTTAAAGTTCGCTTACATAGACTTTCTAGAGTGGCCTCATTTCACTATGCAGACAGACAGCAGACTGAGACTCTCATTTTCCAGACAGCCGACAGACACAGAACTTACTTCCAGTGGGAAAAGGCCTTGTTAGCTTCGGTGACTCCAGGCTTGGATTAATTGGTTGGCCCGGACCCCATATTTCAGGCTGATCTAAAAGAACTGGAAATATAAAAAGAATTTCCCAAGGTAAGTTCAAAAAAGGAACCACCCCACCCCAACTTTAGAACTTGAACTTTCAGTTTAGCTGAGCTTCACAGAATAATCTCTGCCTTGCCCTGCGCTGGAAGGTTAATTTAGGATTGTGCCGCTCCTTCTTTGGAAGCAGACTAGAGCGTGGGGTGCTAGGGTGGGAAGGGTGTCTCTGTACATACAGCCATAGAAAAGCTTTCAAGATAGAACTTGCATCTTTTTCCTGGCTGGTCACTTAAGGATATTCTGAAGAGCAGTACCCACACTGGCTCTGTTTTTGGTGCCCATTTGAAAATCCAAGCATTAATCTTACGGGCATTTGCTTTGTTATAACGTGGTTCATTTAAAGTGAGCTATGAATAAGCTTTAAAACTGAAAATGTCTGGGTTCTATGCAGTGGTTCCTGTCTTTAAAGGTGTTCCAGGGTCCTTAAGTAAACCTTTCATAATATCAAAGAATTACATTATTCTAAAAATGCTTGGTGACTATCTCCAGAGATTCAGAAAAGTAAGCAAGTTCGTAGGTCTGCAGTAAGTCAGGACAATTAGGTATTGGGACTGAGGACATAGAACTTAACATTTTTCTCTTGTTCTGATTTTTTAAAAATTGCTGTGATAAACAAGTACCCACGCCATTTTTCTCAGCAAGAACTGGCATAATTCCTTACGCTGGAGAGCCAGGCTGGGAGGTCCGTTGGACCCGGATTTGAATTCAGCCTCTAGATTTACCGTGGGACCTTGGGCAGGTCATGTAACCTCTCTGAGTTTCCTTCCTTCAGTGTGAAGTGGCGACAAGAAGAGCAACCCCAGGAGTTACTGATATTGAAAAAGGCAACAGATACAGATTCTGTGAGATGTACACAGAGACCTGAAGCTGTGATTACGTATTATATTTTGATCCTCACAACCTCACTGTGTGGTTGATTTCAGTGCCACTTTGGGGAGAGGAAATCAAGGACTTCCAGTGATTAAATGACTTGTCGGTAGAAAAAGTAGAGAAACCCAGATCTGGACCAGGCATATCTGATCCCAAATGATAGGATTTCCCCCCAAAGCCTTTTAAATCAGCAACAGAAGAATCAATCAAAAGGAGTGAGTAGGTCCGAAAGGGCCAAGAGGGAAGCGTGGATATGAGAAGAGCTACTGTAGTTGTTGCAATGGTGGGGATTTTACAGAACTTCAGGGGTTGAGACCACTCAAAGAACAATCAAGTCAGACTCTGGGGTGCTGAGTTCTCCATCTCGAGCTCCAAGGCAGTCTTAGTGCCTGTATTGTGAAGATACTGTGGGGAAGCACTGTTTTCATGAACCTGAAGCGGGACACTGCCGTGATTTTTAAGACTTGTTTCTACTTTTTATATAAGGCTTTCATACAGTTATGGAATTTCTTAAATAGGCAGATTCAGGGTCAACAAGTCAAATTCCTCTTCTGGTCACCTTAAATTACATCATTAAAGCGAGGCTGATCACAGATGGGTGGGTTAATAAGGCCAATCATAGCCTTACCACAAGGCCACATTTACAGAGGGATTCTGAGTTACAGACGCCGAGTCACTGAAGGGATGTTTGTGGATGCTCTTTCTACATTTTCCTGACTCAATTACTGGGAATATTCAGGTGTGGCTGACTGTTGGCGGCTTCCCAGATCCATTCTCCGTTTCTCTATAATAAAAGGGTTCTCAGCCAGCATCAAATTCTCTCCAGCGGGCTTTGGCAAGAAGTGATGTGTGCCTCTTCCAGGCTTTCCTCCTACAGCAGGCAGCCATTCCACTGGCCTCTGCCAAGCCCTCCTCCCGACCAGCAGGGCTAAGTGCTGGTACAGCTCTCTTCCACTCAGAGGAGGGGAATCACGGAAGAAAACAGAGCTTCCTCACCAGCCCTGCACTGTTTACTTCTAGACTGTGAACATGAAACAAAATCCTCCCTTGTTTAATTCATTACCCTTCGAGGTCTCTTTGTTAATTGTAACTTAGTTTACTCAGCAGGTTTCCAAGCTTCGATTCCCTTGACTTTTAAGGAACTCCACCAATGGGTTCTAGATCGATGCCGTGTTAGCATACATACACCTTGGTGTTCCTCAGGAACACCAAGTGTTTCCCTGTTGTAGACACTCTTTCCTGAGTGTCTTTACAAGGTGTGATAAAAAATATAGTGAATGCTGCCACCGAGGGCCATCCAGTAGAAAAGCAGGCTCATAGAAGCACGATACTGTGTCCTCATCCACGTTATTCACCAGATCTGGCACTGTGTGACTTCTGGTTCTTTCCCAAAGTCAAAATGACCACTAAAGGGAAATGTTTTGAGTCAATTCAATACATCAAGATAGCCACAACAGGGAAACTAAAGACATTCAGGAAAGAGAACTCTGGAGCTGCTTCAGAAAGTGACAAGAATGGCGGAATAAGTGTGTTCAAAGTAAGGAGCAGGATTTTGAGGGGAATTCCTAGCAATGTGTCTTAAAATTTTAAACATTTTTTTCAATTACATGTCATAGATTAAAACCCATTTTCCCATGAAGATCTGATGATAGATGAAAAATTATGCCTCATCATACATATATTTACTCTACATAAGTTATACTTTAAAGGAAAGAAAAACAAATCTACCCATTGACAGCGTTTTCCTACCTTCTGTCTTCTGCTCATCGAAAGCCGATTCTAGTGGGGGCCCAAAGAGGGGCGCGAGGGCCGCAGTGTCATCCGGGGGCTTTTTGCTAAATCACACACAGGAAAGCAAAGTAAGAGAGGGCTCAACGATTCATGCTCAGAAAGGCAAACAAGCTTTCACATATTCCTCTGGGTAAAACAAGAGTGTGTGTGTATCCCTGTGCATATACACACACACGTGCACACAAACTACTGTACAGGAAGGAAGTATTATGTAGAGATGTCAAATATATTATGGGACAGGAGTGTCTCTGGGAGATAAGGGTCTTAGACCCTAAGGTCTCAAGCCCTTCATCTGTGTCTACACCACTTCTCTGTGTCATGCAGCTGATGATTCCTCGAAGGCGAACAATGGATATTCAGCAACAAGCTGTCTGGAAGTTTGTGTTTGAGTAAGAAACTAGGCAGATCAGCTTCTGACATGACCCTCTCCCCTCCCACTCAATGGACCACTTACAATGTGCTAATCCCCCAGTACAGCAGGTCTCAGAGCAACAAGGACATCAAGACTTCAAGGGGAAGGGGAAGATGGGAAGCAAACCCGGACCCATCCTCCTAATTGCTCATTTGTACTGGTTATTAAGAAAAGAGAGAAAGGTGTGGTGGGGCACACTTCTAATCCCAGCACTCTGGGAGGCTGAGGCAGGAGGTGGCAGGATTGAGCCCAGCCTAGGCGACTTAGTGAGACCTTGTCTCAAAGGAAAAAAAAGAATTAAGAAAAGGATTAGGGATGTAGCTCGGGTGAAGGCCCTGTGTTTCATCCCTAGTACCACACACACACACACACACACACACACACACACACACCCAGAAAGAAGGAAGGGGAGGAGGAGGAAAAGAAAGAAGAAAGAATGGTATACAGCTTTCTACATTTCTTCTCCAAATATGATTTCCCTCATAGAACCTAAAGAGCTCTTTGTGTTTGGCGAGGGGCAAGTGAGGAGGAGGAGGAGGAGGAGGAGGAACAGGAGGGAAAAGCTTTTCAAAGATCCAGATTTTAAAGAGAAATGGCAGTCTTTTCAGAAACCCACACACATGTGTACAACACTCACTGAAAGAATACACTGTGAAAGATAATGCTTTGCTAAAACCAAAAACCAAAGTAGAAAATTCTTTTGGTATGTGGCAGGTGGAATGCATCAAGCAATTGCATCCAGCTAAACAAGCCTCTATTTCAGATCAGCACTCCGAAAACCGAAGGGCCTCTTTCCCTGGTCCTCCAGTCTCCTCAGGAGCGAGAGACCCACATCCCTATGGGCAGTTACTTTAGCTAAGGGCAAGGCTACTTCCGTAAAGTAGTGGGCTGCCTTTAGCAGAAAGAACCTGTTTGGACAACCCTATGGTTGTATGAACCTAGCCAGGAAGCCTTTCAGGAATAGGGGCCGAGTTCAGCTCAAAGGGTACTTGCTTAATTATTCAAAGCTCATAATGCCTTGGATCACACACAACGAATGTCTTTTGTGCTCACCTTATGAGTTCTGGAGTTGGTGTGGAACGCCTGGGTCTCGCCACTTCTTCACCTTATGCACAGGACAAAAGACCTGTTTAGGCCTATTGTTACCATTCCCTTCTGACATGTCTTACGAACTATGTTTGGAAATACATAGAGATTTAAATCTCATCAATAAACAACTCAATCTGAAAACTTTTCGAAATCAACCCTCTCCCCTGGCAATGCAACACCCATATGTCTGGCACTTGTAATGGTATTTTCTCTGGCATTTATACAACCTCATTAACCAAGGAACTACCATAAACAAAGCCACAGAGTGGAAGATTTGTATACTGTGGAGCTTAGGAACAGCATACCATTCTCTCTTACCACAAGAGAAAGCTAAGTCAGGCCATCTGTACATAGTACCCGAATCCAGTTATTCTCTGCCTGTTCTTTTCTTGAAATTTCAAGAATATTATATTTTTAGTGATGAATCATGCATTTAAAATTTCCTAGAATGTGTTGTATGCAGCAGAGGAAATCACGCCCTGTATATTATAACCCATATCATATACCTCAGTGACTAAAATGTTTCACATCAAATTACACCAGAATCTGCAAGTTGTCTCAGTCTTCGATTCCTTTCTGCCCTGGTCCTCTCCCACCCCTAGACTATATTCATTTCTAAACTTAAATGATGCAGCAAGAGTTGACAAATACGGGAAGAAAGTAGCAATGCTTTTTCAAAAACACATTCTTTTTGTGAATTTAAACACTAATCATCAGACCCTCCAGAGGCCCTTTATTGTGACAAGGATTCCTTACTGTAAAGGTTTGATTTTTAAAGTAAGCTTTAGAAATCAAACCAAGACTGAATAATTCAAATGTACACATACTCCAAGATCCAAGGAACTGTTCCTTCATTTACATTATGCTCTATTTCTGGTAGCTAAGATATACTTACTGGATAAGTTCCTTTTAATTGCACCCTAGAATTAGAAATAGACACTATGAGGCTTAAGACCACATATACGTTATGTACAATATGTATTTATTATTTCTGTTATTGCAATTAAACTAAACTCAAAGAAATGCAGGAGGGGACAAATGAAATTGTTCTCAGGCCCGGCATTCAGGCTGGAACTTGCATAGACACACACACACACACAGACACACACAGACACACACACACACACAAATCAATTTTCATTTTACTCAAAATTACAGCGAGGAAAGGAGGGGAATCACAAATCTTCTAAATGAGAAAACCCCCTACCTGGAGAGGTTCGGGACTTTAAGAGAAATATCAGACAGTCCATTAAAAACAAAAGCCCTCTTGAACTCTCGCAGATAAGAAAGTAAATCCAAGTTTCCCATATGATTGATATTTGAAAATTCTAAAACGTATTTAGGAGTGCTGTCTGCTGCTATTTAGGCGGGCCCCCAAATTGTTAGGAGAAACAATCACGACTTACTAAGGTGGTTCTCTCTGTCTTATCCCTTTTATTTAAAATGTGATAGAAAGGCAGACAGCTTCTTTCATGCTCATCGATTCCTAGGTGTGGCAATTCATCCCACAGATATTTATTATTGAAAGGCACTGAGGAATTCCCCGTAACATTTTTATTAAATACTCCTCTTGGACGAATGATCACAAGTTAAGTGGCAGCCAAACATGGAAGAAACACACAAGAAAACACTGTTGTTTAGAAATGAGAAAGAATAAGCGATCACCAATTCAGACAGGAACAGACATTTGAATGATGAGAAGCAAGCCAGCAACAAGAACTCCCATTGGCAGCTGGGTCTCGTGTACAGATCTCTGCCCACCCTGATATGGCAGCAGGAAAATCTAGCACAAGGTTAGGGTGCTATTGATCACACTCAGGGAGGACCCCATTGGATTAAAAGTCTCCTCGCTGAGCTACCGGATTCCGCTTCCGCACTGAACCTCAGCTATGTAGCACAAACAGAACCACCAAGTTTCCTCTGGGGCAAGGTATTTGCTTCAAACAGTAATTGATTAATTGGATCGACCAAGGCCTGGGGATATTTTAGAGAGGACTGTTTCAGTTTCATTTCCTCGCTTAAGGGAATGAGCAGGTGTGTGTGTGTGCGTGTGTGACCAAGCGGAGCAAAGGCTCTTCTTTTTCTTGCTTTGAATGACTGAGATTTCACTTTGTCTCATGATCTTCCCTGCCAGTCATCTTCAGTGACAGATTTAGATTGGTGACAGTTTAGGGTACTGACAGGAAGTGTGTCCTTGGTACCAAGAGGGAACAAAGTGGTGTCAGTGTGCTGGCCGACATGCACAAGGGCCCAAGGACACAGTGTGAATTCGGGTTTAAAGCATACTGTGGGGGTGGGGATTTAGCTCAGTGGTTTCGCTGCCCGCCTCGCAAGCACAAGGTCCCAAGTTCGATCCCCAGTACCAAAAAAAAAAAAAAAAAAAAGTGAGTAAAACACACTGTGGCTTCTAAGCTGATTCCTTACCTTCTTTGCAGTTTTACGTTTCTGCATTATCGCTTTGCTATCAACTTCTACGGGGCTTTCCAGCCAATCTGCAGTCCTTGGACACACACACCTATGCGCGTGTGCACACACTCACACACAGGCACACACAGACATCTATTTTTCACGTTTAGCTCTAAAGTTAAAATTCCCATGTATTAATCGAGTCCATTATGGACAAGTCCTCTGATGGTTATAAAGTATCTCTTCAGAGAGCCAGAGCCTTCCAGGGCGTCCACCTAATTTGTCTGCCTTGTTCACACTGGGTTATCATAAATGCAACGGAAATCAACCTGCCGCCTTGCCTGGGCAGCGATTTTCTCTCTCTATATTTAAGGGGGAAATGTTGAGAGTTCTTACCGGGCTGCGCCTCTGTGATCAGCAAAAAGGAAGAGAGAACAGACACCTAGTCAGAGAATGACGCCTCAGGCAACGGGTATGGGTAGCAGAAGACTTGCTAACAGCCCCCGCTTGCGCTCCCCAAATAACCAGGCCCGGGAGGACCCGCGCACGGCGTCCACCCCTTATCCAAGACGGAGTGGGCTTTTGCGGCCCTTCAGAGGGACCTGGCTCTAGCACCTTGTTGCCCGCGTGGCTGTCCACGTTTCCGTATGTGCACAGAAGGGCAAGGCAGAAACACAAGATCTCTACGGATGTGTTTAATGTCTGTCGTCAGGAGTTTTCCTCCAGGTTACTTGGGGTGTGGGACTTGGGAGGACCAAATGGGACAGGAACACACTTTCCCTGTGGGACAGAGTATGACAAGCACCGCAGATGGAATTCATTCCCCAGACCCCAGGCCCTGAAGGGAGGCTTGAAAACACTGGGCAGGCTGCAGACAGCACCTTGGGGCTGTGCGCTGAGTGTCCCTCAGAATGCCTGCTTCTCCGCTGTTTCGGGACCTGGCATCTGGCAGCCCCTCCCAGAGGGTAGTAAGGGTGAGGGGCCCAGGGGAGCCCCAGACAAACACAGGGGGAGAGGAAAAGTGCCTAGTGATGACACTGAACACTGGGGGCAGGACCAGGTCTGCAGACACCAAGCAGGCACACAGCCTTAGCCACCCCTCCCCACCCCCTGCTCTACCAGCCTCATCAGTGGCTGTCAATTTACCCCATAAGCTCTCATTCACCCTCTGGAGCATCTTTCTGCATAACAACAGTGAGTAGTGGGAGAGAAACCTGCCGAGTTTCACTTTCAGGATGTGGATTAACCCAGAATTCACCACGGGTCACCTCTCACCTCCCAAGGCCGAGGCCAGGAGGGCAGATGCATGAGTGGGAAGTTCTCCAGATGACAAGGGGCGACCATGCTCCAGGACAGAGCAAACAGAGGCGGGCAGCCTGTTACTCCAGGAGGCCTCTGCAGATATCCAGGCCAAGTGCCCTTCGGATGCAGAGGGGAGTGAGATTCTGAGGCTGGGCTGCAAGTCACCAAGGACAGAATTCAGACCTCTGGCCTCCCATTCTCCTGCTCTTTGATGCTCTCCTTCAGGAATGGAGAACTCACAAGGCAGAGACCTTCAGGCTCACACCAGGAATGGTGCTTTTTCAGACCAAATATGTAAACAACTAGGCCTTTCGATTGACTTCTTTTAGCCAGTTTTACTTGTGATAGTTTAGAGTTTAGTATTTATTTTATTTTTCAGGCACTGGTTCATATTGATTCCACTTTTCTCATAAACCTGTCTGTGTGCTTGGATGCAATCGAGTCAAAATTTGAAAAGAAATGGGACACATCAGTGCCTATTTGTGGGCTTAAATTCCCTTGGCCTAAACCTTACTGTGTTTTGTGGAAAATTGAAACAATCTTACGTGTAATGATTTAGAGTTTATTATTCTTTAGCAAACAGACTAAAGCTTTTTAAAGAAGAAAATGTAGAATTTCATGACAAACTTTCAAAATATAGCTAATAGTAGACTAAAATTAAAAGTTCCCCCATATAATATTCTGAGAAGTAAGGCAAAATAAAATCCTGGTTGCAACCATATAGAAGCAGAATCTTAAATATAAAAAAATTCATCAATGTAGAATAATACAAAATGCATTTCAAGATAATTTCAAATATATTAATCTATTTGAATTAAGTCATATCTTAATTTCTAATGAGTTAAAAGCCTATGCTTTTAATCTGTAGTTCATGCTGGTATTTTGTTTTTATAGTAAAAGACAACATTATGAGATAGCATTTTGGAAATTCCATTTGCAACATTCTTTCATTAGAACTAGCTGCCCTGATTCATGTGGTCACAAACCGATTAATGAGAAGACAAAAGACACAGCTTGAAGCTGGGTGCAGTGTAAGGCAGAATATATTCAAAGAATATAATTAAGAGCTTTCTGAAATCCTCAAAAGAAAAAGATTTCCAGAAGTCAAATGGAAGGGCTTGATGTACACTATCATCACCACAGACGAGCTTGCTGGACAAAATGGTCAGGAAAATTATTCTCAACCAGGACAGAAGCATCTTCAACTTTACAAATTTTATTTTATCCTTTCCCTGTCATTTCCTAAAAACTTTAAGGGCTTAGCATTCTGCTTGGTGGTACCAATATATAGAATATGCCTCAAAGGTGGATATAAACAAATTCAGAATTTGGTCTTGATTTATTAAAAAAACTAAAATTCAGAAGATGAACATTTAGATTTTTTTTTTAAAGTTCAAGTGCTCCAGTTTGTAAATGTGGGCTAAAATCATTATTTATTATTATTATTATTTATTATTAATATTATTATTATTATTATTATTTTGTTCTTTTGAGGCAGGGTCTCCCTTTGTAGTTCAGGCTGGTCCTGAACTAACTATGTAGCCCACGCTGGCCTCAAACTCGCAACAATCCTCCTGCCTCAGCCTCCTCAGTGCTGGGATGATAGGCATGCGCTACCAGGCCTGGCGACTAAAATTATTTTTAACTGCACAGACAGATAAAATACCTATTCCGTTGTTCAGTGTCTGCAGGTGGCCAACTTGCAGATGTTTGTGTCACACATAAGGAATCTCCATCACATCTACATCTGATTCCTCAGACACAGACTGCAGTTGGTCTGCCTATTTTCTGAACAAATCCCTAGTTAGACATCAGTTGTTCAATTCTCCTGGTCTCCTGGTGCACTGTGGGAAACTTTCTGGAAATCATTTTATTTACGCTTCTACTTCAATTTTGTTGTTTAACTCCGAAGTAACTCTTACTGTGTATTAGAGGCTATTTTCAAAGTGGTTTATTGCTAGTTTATGATTTGATCACTAGAATGAAGATTTTTATTTCAGAATTTACATGATTTTGCATATGAATGTGCCTTTAGAAGAAAATACTGTGGCTATGCCTTTATAGTCTCCAAAGTGTCTTTCCATCATAGCAGTTTTGTGTTGTTGCTTTAGGGTAACAGGATTAATTTAAATTTGTTAACTAGGATATCTTAGTCTTTTTTTCCCTATCCTAGTGCTGAGAATTGAATTCATGGCCTTATGCGTGGTAGGCAAACGCTGTACTAGAGCTACATCCCCAGCTCCTGGGGTACCTTAGTCTTAATCAATGTGAATAAATTGTTTTGAGACATTTGTAAGAAGCAACCAAACGTAATCTGTCTTGCTTGTTAAATTCACTAAACAACCAGCCTCAGTTTTCGAAGTTTTAAAATATCTTCATTTGCTGAATTCAGTGTTATAGGGGGACAGAAAAATGGGCTATAAATTACAAAGCACCAAACAAATATTTATTTTTGTTTCTATGTCTAGATATAGAAAATTAAGTGATTCATGATACAGAAATTTCTGGGAAAGAATTAGAATGTAGGATCCTTATGTTTACTATTACGATCCCAGCTAACATTCCTATTTGTTTTTAAATGCTTCAGAATAAAGACAAACTATCTGCTGAGCATCTACTTGTCCCACTGGTGAGTTTGTCTATATTTAAACTTGCTCCTGTGTTACAAGCCCAAGTACGTAGAATATTATTGTTTTCAACAAGATGGTCAGAAGATCTTGAAACCCACGTGGGAAATGAAGCAAAGAACCTAGTGGTAACCAATGCATCATTCAGAGATGCCCAGCTGAGGAGCTGGCTGGATGAACATTTTCTAAAGAAAAATGAGGTAAGGGAGTTGGAAATGAAGTGAAAATGAAAAGGTGTTCTTATTAAAGTAAGGTCAGCCGAAGCAAAGCCAAGGAGGAACACAGGAGTCTGAAAGTCCCTCAGGTAAATTTCAATATTCAAAGTGGCCACATTTAGGTAATTCAGAGAAGGATTCAGGGTCAAGGAGAATGCATGAGGTTGGTGACACCTGAAGAGCCATTATTAAGGAGCATCGAGGTTGTCCTGCCTTGTGGCCTGAGTCAGAGAGATGGCGCTCGGTGACCAGAAGTGGGCCATACAGCTTGGCCACGGTCAGAATCAATCACAGATGCTTATTTTACTTTTGGAAACAAAAAGGTTTGGACCCACATTTTGATGCATTTTAATGTTTGGGTCCCATTTGTTGTTGTCTTTGTGCCTTGCCTTCCTCTACCTTCCTCTCACACGGACTTCTTCCAGTTCAGTATCCTCGCAGGGCGCAGAGGTAAGAAATGACCACACTTCCTGTAACATCTGCTCAGGTGAGTGAAGTAGAACCAACCAGCCACTTCTCGGTGTTTGCTAACATAAAAATACTTTTCATATTTTACAGTAGAGGTCACCTGGGTTGGCCATGCAGGGAACATGCTCCCACAGAAGCAGGCAACTGAGAACATAATTTCCCTTTCTTTTTCTCTTATTTATTTATTTATTTATTTTCCCCGGACTGGGGATCGAACTCAGGACTTTGCACTTGCCAGGCAGGTGCAGTGCCACTGAGTTACATCCCGGCCCATTTATTTATTCTTTTAAAGTTCTGTTCCACAACACTCTAAAACAAAAAGATATAGGTACATCATATCAGGTTGTGCTACCACTAAAATGTAACATCTGCATGGCAATTTACATTTTATAAAGATCTTTTTTTTAGTCTCCAACAGTTTCAGGAGAGGATACTTTGATTTACTAAAACAAAAAGTAGCAGTGACAACAACAACAAACCATTTTAGCCTCTCTTACAACTTCCCTTTCCCAGGCCAGTTATACATTAAACAAAACATTAACTAAAAAAATATGTGCCTAGCTCATGGTATCTATTTAGCTTGACTAATTCGAGTGGGAGCTGCAATAAATGAAACTTAGGACCTAAGATGTTTGATCATATGCTTGTACAGAGGCAGAGGTGAATCTTTACAAAATTACCCCACATCCCTTAATAACAGAGTTGGAAAAATCACTTAGCAATGGACTTCCTCTTTTTCCCATGTGGTACAATTAGACCTTCTCCTGGTTTGCAAAGGTTTGTTTTCAAAATTCAAAACTTTGTTTAGGTATCAAACACAATCAGTCATTAGATAGGCAGATGGTGAAAATGAACATAACAAATCATGTTTGGCCAAAACATGGAAAGGACTTGTTATTTCTTACCGGACTTTTCCTCTAAGAGCGAAGGCGTGGGGAGGAAAAATAAAGAGAACGTGAGAAAGTGACATGTATCTTCAAGAAGAAACGCTCAGGCTCTCCGCTAAAGGCAGCCGCTTCCAGTGCGTGTCTGCTCCTGCGGCCACTTCTGGGCGGTCATTGTTAGCCCGGGTTCTAGAGGGCACAGGTAGAGAGGCACACGCTGTGCTGTCCTTTGAGTGGTCCACTTTTATCAAACAGAGTTTTGCCTTGAAGAGAGAAGTAGGCCTTGAATATTAGAAGGAGTTGGCGAATGCCATGAATGCATTGCAGCCGGGAGTGGCTCATGAAGCCACATAAGATTTTCCCCAGAAATTCCGCATCTTGCTAGGGAAATTGGTATTTACCATCTCTTCCCAATCACCATGGCTACAGCTGTCAGTTCTCCTTGGACCCATCTTTCGTTCCCCCCACATTTCATGAACAAGTGCATATTCTTTTCCTGGTGAGCGGTCCCTGGCCCCTGAGAACTGCTGTCCTAGCAAGGCCTGGGGGTCCCCAGCTGACACTAATGCTGTAGTTTCAGCTCCCATCCACCCTTCACGCCATGCCCAGAGTCATTTTCCAGAACCAGCGGAGGACGCTGTTACCCTGTCCCTCCAGTGCCTCCCTGGCATCCTGGGAACAGAATGCAAACTCCATGCTATGGCATCTGATGCCTTCCGGATGGCTCCAGCCTTGTCTCCATGCCTCATCTTCTGCCATTGTCTTTTTTTGGTACTGGGGATCGAACTCAGGGCCTTACGCTCAAAGGCAGGCTCGGTGCCACTGAGCTTCATCCCTGGCCCCCACCATCATCTTTTCTGGAAGCCTGGCTGTCCCATCACCTCCCCAGTGTGCCAGGCACTCGCAGCCTTCCTGCCTCTGCCTACACTGCTTCTCCCTCCTCCTCCTTCTCCCTGGTCACAATCACACTTGCTCTTCAAGGCCCGGAACTTCCTTCTAGAGACCTTTCCCAAGCCTCGCAGTCAGAATACAATGTTCCTTTCTCTTGGTCAATGGCCACACATTTCTTTCTCTCAAAATAATAAATATTGAAGGCTTTTCTGTTTTCTTGACATTTCCTAACCTCAGGGAAAATGGAGGTATGCATAGCTGGTATATTTTTGGCAGTTCTCTTGTTCTGTATAATTTCCACGTCTATGAGGCTAAGAACTCACAGTTAGGGTTATGCACACCTTCTCTCTAGCCTGACCACAGTGCTAGGTGCATAGTAGGCATTGAAAGTACATTTACAAATTCCCATTTTGGGGACATTAAAACATGATACAAGTGTTTGAAACACAGTGTCATCTGAAATACGGAGAGATGAATTTCTCCCTAAAGTACAGTTGAACTGCAAAGGCCCAAGGCCCACAGTCCCCCTTCTAAGGGTTCTTTCTTGGCACCCATACATATTCTACTCAGCTCTTCCATAATTGTTAATTGCTATCTACCCACTAGTGACTGCTTTACGGGGACATTCGTGTGGAATCCTTTCCCACAGCAGCAGATGGGAGCGCTACAGAACAATTGCAGGCCACAAGAGGGGAGTGTGCCTGGTGCCACCTTCAGATGCAAGTGAAATGGAAATCATTGACAAGAGCCAGGTTCTCAATCTACAGACAACCATAATACTGGGATAAAATCCAATTGCTTTAAAGGGGGGTCTCAGGGTAGAAGGAGGATCGTGAGATGTTATGTTCTCTAATTAGCTCAACTCCTTATTTTCCAGATATCCTTGGGCAAGTCACACCATGCCTCAAACACGTGATTTGTAAGGAAGGGATAATTGCTCCCGGGTAAGGATGGAGCACAGGATGATGTTGGCAGCTGACATTCAGTGAGAATTTATTATGACTTTGCCTTGTGTGGCTGACATCCTCATCGGCTCTGGTTTACTGATGGAGAAAAGGAGGCTGGAAGAATTCCAGGGCATGGTTAGCAGGGGGAGAACTGGGGCAGGAGCCCAAACTCTCTGACTGCAGACAATCTGGTCCAGGTTGGACCTGGGGCCCCTGAACAGGCTGAACCCACTTTCTGGGCTTTATCAGCATCGAGATCGGGAAACAACTGAGGTAAATGCTTATAGATCACAGAGTCAGAAAAAGAATCTTGGACCTTTCCAGTGGAGAGGGCTGAATGGATCGTGCCAGGCAGTAACGGAGGGCTCGAGAGCAAGCTCCCCCAAGTGGAGCCAGTGTGTCTAGGGCACTTTCAGTCCCCAAGATCAGACTCTGTTGATAGGGTACATTTGTCATCCCTTCTTAGAGTTAAAGGCATTTCATTCAGTTAAAATCAGAACAATAAATGGAACACACAAATGATAAGGGTTACCCTCATCTTCCCCTTTATAGCTTCCACCCCGGCCCACACGATACATTAAATCATCTTCATTCAACATGTGGCTTTGCTTTGTTGGCACTCACCAGTATTTAGGCTATGGCCTCCTAACTGGAGGGTAGCTTCAGAATGTTTAAAAACAAATGAAAATGTAAAACATGACAATTCTTTTTAAGGGAAAACAAAAATATTCCTTGATGTAAAGTGAGCTAATAGCATTTGAGTAGATTTTTATAGAACTGAGAAAGAGATGTAGACTTCTGGGCTTACCTGTGAATAGAGATAGAGCCAGTATGCTTTGGATTGGACAGAACAGTCACATACGGGACACCCACTGAATGGGCTCCAGGAACACGGGTTTTCCCAGCCCATGGACTAAGAAGACAGACACAATTTTTGCCCTGGAAGTCTCAGTAAAAGGCAGTGAGCTCATGTGACCAACAGCTGTCCAGGGACGAGACAGACGCTTGCCTCTCGCAGGTGGGGAAGCTCTTTCCAGCCACTATTATTCCAGATAGCCTGGCAATCAAGTGTCATCAAGTGAGATCCAGGCATCGGAAGCTGGGTTTGATCTGCAAGCCTTTTCAGAGTTTGCAGTGGCTTAGCTTTAAAAATAGAATGGCTGGGGGCCAGAGATGTAGCTCAGTGTTGCTGCATCTGCCTGGAAAGTGCAAGGTCCTGAGTTCGATCCCTGCTACCATGGGAAAAAAAATAGAACAGCTGTATTCTGGACCTTAATATTTTAACTAATGCAATTCTATTATAAAATAATAATTTCCTTTTAATTATTTATGACTACTCAGGTATTCACAAGAGCAAAATGTTATTTATATTCATTTATTAAGCCATTAACAGCTCTCTCCCACACACTTAATAAATATCCAACAGGATTCCAGGCACATTAGTAAACAGGAGAAAGAGCACCAGGAAGGCTCCAGTGAGCTTAGCCTGGGAATAGGAGATAGTCAACAATAGCTGATGGAATAAAGCAGCACAGTGTTAAGACTTTTAGAAGATAACGTAATTTTAGAAAGTGGGGCAGCTGCAAGAGATAGGAAAAAATGCTACCTTCCTTTTGTTTAGAAATAAAATTTTCCTCATCTCTGAGAAAGTATTTTTTTATATAATTAATGTGGGTGATTTACATTCTAATTTTTCTAAAACAATGATTACATAGATTGCTTTGATTTCTGACACTAAAAAAATCATCAGAGGGCAAAAAGATACAATGCTTTTTCCCTTACAGTGTTTTATGTGTTTTGTTCTATTTTTCCAGCATTTATAGAAACTCCTGAGTGTACAAATAATTATAAGTTTAAGAAATGTAATCATAGACACCTGGTGCTCAGGACTGAGGGTCGCAAAGTGACAGGAATCCACAGGCTGCAGATGAGAAAAGACACCCTGCTGGGGGTGCAGGTCGAGGGGAGAATGAGTAAGATAAATGTCAAGGACCGACAGAAAACGAATCGATCAACTTTCACAAAGAACTTTAAGAGGAATGATAAGAGACAGGGAATTATTCCTTCTGATGCCTGTCTGTCCAGCAATGGAGAAACTTTGTTGAGTTGAAGGGGAAAGGATCTAAGAAGTTTAGAACACTGAACTTGCTCTTTTGACGTCTTTTTAATATAAGGAATGTAAACTGCACCAGAGCATGGCCAGGCACTGAGTTCCGGACAGTCGCCCGGGGTGAATCGAGGTGAATCCATACTCCCAGAGCCACGTGAAGGTGCTCTGGGCACCTGCAATGTGTCGCTCAGCGCCAGGCCTCTAGGAGAAGCAGCCTAGCAGGGAAGTAGTCAGGAACGCCACACTCCGTGAGCTTTCTTAAATTATGCTTCTAATAAAAACTTATTTTCCAAATCAATTGCTTCTTTCCAGGGCCCCTGCTACTCTGATTCTGGCTATTAGTTACTAAAAATAGTCTTAAAATTCCAAACTCTACAGCAGGAGGGTCACACAATCAAGGTAGAAGAATTCACAAACATGAACATTAGCCTTTTTAAAAAATTACAATTGACATTGTAACTAAAAGCATGTAACTGAAGAATTCGTTGCTTCTGATGAGCTCTCCTTAACATTGTGTAACCATACGGTGTCATACGGTCTTGTTCTGTTAGACTTCAAACTGGTAGCAGGAATTGAGTGCTCGTGGTTGCCAGCAGGGGTGCCCAAACCCTCAAACAGGGTCGGCTTGCCTAAGAATCTGGAGCTAGGCAAGGAAAATCTGACTCCTCCACCTCACACATCGAAACCGAATACCACAGTCTCTGAGGGTACAACCAACAGGAACTGGAAAAGTAATGACGAAGGTGGTCCAGATGCACTACTGGATATTTTACCGTTTTCAGGGAGATCAAAACATAATTAGGGATTCCTCTTACCAAAGTAGGGTGGGCAGGAGAGGCTTGGAAAACGAGACTGTAATTTTAAAGGTCAGGAAATGGAAGCAGCAGAGAATTCTCCAGGAAAAAAAAATTCATAATGAAGGAAAGAAACAATGTATATTAGACACAAAATTAATTCTTCTGCGGGCAGTGTGTGGTGTTTTAAAATGTAGGGAGAACAATATATTCTGAAAGAAAAACTTCCCGCTCATTTCACCATCTATCCTTCTCTGTAAGGCCTGAAGATAAAGAAAATAATCAAAGGTT